ACGATAATAGTAATGATAATAGAGGTCCGAAATAACATTTGCTGCGGTGGTAAAACAAAAAGCTAGTCATTCCCTAGAGTCAAACACAAAAAGATCAGGTTCAGAAAATAATGGAAACTCACTAATCACTAGAACATGGATTGACTAACCAAAATCAATCGGAAGTGAATAACAATCAACAGATCGTCCTCGAGGATAATACCAACTCTGAATTTGTTGGTGTAGCAAGAAGAGTGGTAAAACAGATTGTATCTCGGTGGAGCTCGGGAGGGCGCGACATCGGAGTTAGTTACTGAATATATGGAGCGTAAAGGTATTTCTCCAACTGTTACAGTATAAGGATTTTCAAAAGTAAAAGAAAAGGTACTGTGGCCATTCGCATTAATGTTAATAGTAGGGATTACGAACGGGTTTTGCAAAATGATTTTTGGCCGGAGAATGTGTACGCACGACCATGGGTATCACAGGCCAAACGGCAGGACAAAAATAAGGAAACTTAGGATTTCAGACAGTTTTATCAAGAGCTTCAATCACACTACGTTATGAATGAAAAAATCCGGAAGGGCATAGACTCCTTGCTGTTTTCTATACAAATGCTAGAAGTATAGTTAACAAAGTAAACAAGCTGGACTTGGAAATAGCTAATGGTTCTTACGATATTATTGTTTTAACCGAGACGCACCTGGACAGTAGCATCGGTGATGCAGAGATATAAATGGACGTCATGGTGACAGAAATATAAATGGACGTCATGGTGGTGGGGTCCAAATTGCGGTATTAAACTCGATCAATGTTTATCCCAGAGATGATCTTTACTGTAGCTCAGAGCTGATGTTTGTTGAGATTGTATTTTCGAATAATCGGAGAACTACGTTAGGAGTTTTCTTTGACTTTTTTCATCCTTTTTCCAGGGGTTTTCCAGGGGCATTTGAAATATAAATCTATAAGTGTTTAACGGATAAGAAACGTTCGCGACGGCTAGTACTTCATCTTGCACAGATACTTTTTGAGTTTGTGCCAGTTTGAACGAAAGGTCGCGCCGTATGCCCAAGAAATACTGCGACTATATATAATGCAAGAAACTTTTGTTCAATCTTTCTTTTTAAGAGTGTTTTAAAAATAGTATAGGTATAATCCTATACCCAGCTCAGTTTCTCAGTTTTCCAGGGTTTTCCAGGGATAAATGTGAAATTCCAGGGTTTTCCAGGATTTCCAGGGGGCGTACGAACCCTGGATTACGTTTTTATTAACTGGACAACCATATGTCCAGCTTAAATCCAAAAATATGTTTATTGTTACAAAAAAGCTGATTGGTTACAACTGAAATTAACGTTGTCTCAAATTCCATGGAACTTAGCATTTCTTGAAGAGAGTATTGATGAGAATTGGAATTCATGGAAAGATCTGGTTTTTTTGCAGCAGTAAATGAATGCATCCCGAAAACAAATGGGAAAAAAGACAAAATGCGCCGTGGATTAATAAAGAGCTAATATCTCTATGTAGGAAGAAGCTACTTTATAAAAAAGCAAAACGGAGCCGAAATGAAAGTACCTGGATTCGTTATCGTCAAATGAATAACAATTTGAAAAGGAAGTGCAATGAAGCTCGGTGGAGCTATGATTTAGCTCAAGATTTGACAGACAACAACAATCCCAAACCATTTAGGAACTTTGTGAAATCCAAGTGTAAAGGAACAAATAAATTGATATCCCTGAAAGTTGGAGAATCTGTTTTCACTGACGACCAAGGTATTGCAGATAGCATGAACTCGTATTTTTCTTCTGTTTTTACAGTTGAAAATTATGATAATATCCCAGTGCTTGACTATATTGTGGACGAGAGATTAGAGAACATCCGTTGTTCTGTTGACGAAGTAAAGAAAGCTTCTTCCAAATCTTAAGGTAGAGAAGTCCCCGGGACTGGCAATATCCCTGCACGTATTCTAAAGGTATGTGCAACAGAGCTGGCACCTTCAATCTCACTTTTGCTAAATAAGTAATTCTCGATGGGCATGCTACCTATAGAGTGGAAAACTGCCAACATTACACCAATTTTTAAAAATGGTTCGAAGAATAGTAGAGAAAACTATCGTCAGATATCTCTTACAGGGATTATATGCAAAATAGGGGAGAAAGTTGTTCGAAGTAGAGTTCTCGATTTCTGGTATAGAATGAATATTTTGAGTGAGAATCAGTTTGCCTATTTGAAAGGCAAGTCAACAGTAACACAACTACTATCAACTGTTGATGATTGGGTGAGATCTAGGAACTCCGGCGTGCCCACTGATGTTATATTTCTTGACCTCGCAAAGGCGTTCGATAGTGTGCCGCACGAAAGATTGATTTTGAAGTTAAGAAGTTATGGTATCGAAGGGAGTTTATTGACATGGTTTAGGCATTTCATTACAGGCAGGAAGCAACGTGTTGTAATTAGAGGGACTTTTTCGGAATGGTCACCAGTGTCTTCAGGCACTCCCCAAGGTACAATAGTTGGACCAATTTTGTTTTTAATATACATTAATGATATAACGGACTGTATTTTATCTAAAGTCAAACTGTATGCCGATGACACTAAAATTTATAGAGAAATAAAAGAACCTGTCTTGGACACGCATATTTTGCAAAACGACTTAAACAGTCTCGATGAATGGGCACACACATGGCAATTAAAATTTAACGTGGAAAAGTGCGAAACTATGCGGTTAACCCACTCCAATGATACGCTAAAATCAAGTTATACTTTAGGAACATCAATCTTGAAAGATACAGAAAGCTTTAAAGATCTTGGAGTCACTGTTTCGCGTGACCTAACATGGAGTAAACATTTTTGTATCACAGTTAATAAAGCAAACAAAATTCTAGGAACTATTAAACGATCAGTTGGTACAGCAAACACGAAGGTTTTCTCGATGTTACATATTGCTCTTGGCTGACCCATCCTTGAATATGCTGCACCTGTTTGGAACCCATATCTTGTTAAGGACATTCATGCAATTGAGAAAGTACAAAGACGAGCATCCAGGCTTGCTTTGCGTCAAAAGAGAGGTGAGATGTCGTACGAAGAAAGATGCCAGATCCTGGGGTGGACAACACTTTCCTTACGGAGGGATTATTTATCATTACTTGAATGCTACAAAATTGTCTTTGGGCTATGCAAGCTAAACTTCTCGAACTTTTTCGAATGGTCTAGAGAAAAGTCAACTAGAGCAAATCACGCGTATAAACTATGTGTTAAGGCAAGTAGAGTGAACTGTTACAAATACTCCTTTTTTGTAAGGACTATCGGCTTGTGGAACGCTTTGCCAAAATACGTTTTAGAGGCTAATAACTTTTCAGCGTTCAAAAAAGCCCTGAAGGACCATCTAAAGATCTATTTTATTCATATATTTGTAATTGTAATTTTAATTAGTAATTTTTAACAATTATTTTATTTAAGGAAGTTTAATATAGGGATAACCTCAAACTTTCCTTTTCCTCTGTCACTATAACTGCATGCTTCAGTTTCATTGTGGATAAACCTGTACTGTACTGTACTGTACTGTACTGTACTGTACTGTACTGTACTGTACTGTACTGTACTGTACTGTACTGTACTGTACTGTACTGTATTACTGTATTGTATTGTATAGCAACATATTCATTGACATAAGCATACAGGAAGGTAAAAATTAGCAGGGCAGAAAGAAATTTGCCCAACTTTTTTGTATTTTGCCCAACTTATCAAAACATTTTTTCCATGGTAAACTTCTGTAGTTGTTTCAAATGACCTAAACTTTTTTCTCACTATTAACCAATTTCTTGCATGTTTTTGGCCATTGTATGCTTATGGCCATTGATATATGCTAATAAGTTGACCACCTAACAGGGCATTTGTGGTGGGCAATGTCATTAATGTTGCCATCCGGTCACAGAATAGAGACATACAGAAGATTAACTCAACCCAAAAAGCATAACTGCTGCTACCCATTAATTTGCAATGATTCGTCATCAAAAAGCTGTCGACATGGTTTTGAGAGGCATTCAGCCCCTGAAACACAGAATAGAGACACACAGAAGGTCGACTCAGCCAAAAAAGCATAACCGCTGTGGCACCATGATTCACAATGATTCGACATCAAAATGCCGATGCCATGGTCCTAGCCCAGTTAACTCCATCTATTTTGTCTGGAACGATAACATGCAGGAGAAATGTGAAGCCAATGCCAACACCACTTCTCGCCAACATGCTGACGCATGCCGATTTGTAATAGGTCATACAGTGATGGCATATAAGGGGACTGAAATTGACATACCATATATGGCGTGGTATGCTGCAACGCCACTGCTCACATGTTGCATATGTGAGGCTTCACTCTTTAACGGCCATATGACTGAGTCTGAGTGTTACAAGTAAAAAGTAAAATAAATTAAATCAACTGGCCTAGCTAATGCACTTATGAGAGGCATTCACCCCCTGGACCTCCCTGGATGAGAGGCTTCACCCATTTTCAATACCTGGTATTTTCAGGGAGTGAATGGCTCTCGTAATAAAATTAAGGTAATTCCGCAGTTTTGCATTGCGCACTTTTACTGCGCACATCTTATAACTTATAATTTCATCCATTATACGTACCGTTTAAAAAAATCATTTTATGACAATTTTATGTTACTTCAAAACATCTTTGGTCACATTCGTGCAAAGAATTACGTTAAAATTAATGTTTTCAAAAAAAGGCATACAAAAGTAGCTAGGGTTCCCTGTGTCTGTAGTATATTTATTTACTTGTATTTCACGTTTTAATGCCACAATTCCCTAAAAAGATCGGTGACCCCCGTTTTTTAACTGATAATTTATTTCTTTAATGCATTTTACATTTCATATCCGAAATCAAAAGAAAAATCATTTCTGGATCTTGAAAAAAAATCCTTTATCAATGCATGTTCTCAAAGAAAGATATGTAAAGAAATGTGGAAAAGACATTTGTGGATCAGAATTGTACATGTTAGTAGTTTTATTTGCTCAAAACACAATATTTTTTCAAAAATAATTGCAAGATAGGTTTACTAAAACAAAATCCGGGCTAAAAATGTCAATAAATATCGGGCTGTTGTGATTTTGCTGTTACTCGTAATGAGCGTGAAGATGGTGCAATATTGGGGTAAAGGTGGTATATTGTGATTGTCATATCTTCTTAACGAGTACGGTGACCCCGACTTTTTTGTGTGATAACATTTTACTTTAAGTATATTATAAACTCCATGCCTGGGAAGTTTCAGCACATTCTCATTTCGGGAACAATTACTGCAGAATTACCTTAAAGTACTCTGGCCATGGCAACAGCATTGCAACGGTTATGCCAAAATCATAGGCAAACAGGGCAAATGCCCCCCAGTCCCCCCTTGTGCCCCCCCCCAGGAAAAGTCCCTTTTTCCTAAAATTATACATTCAAACAAACCAGCGAAGAATAACAAATAGATAAATGGAAGGTAAGTTTTGGGCTTTTTCCTTTGTCCTTGTTAACAAAATCGATTTAAATTGTTATCACTCATGTTTTTCTACCACTAAGTAATGATAAATTATTGTTAATAATTTTTTTTATTTTTTGGATGCTCAGAATGCAGGAAATAGTATTTCCGGATCTCAAATTTCAAAAATTATCCCCCTCTAATAGGTAATGATAAACTACGGTTAATATTCTTTTTTACTTTTTGTGCATTTTTTCCTTCTTTTATTTCAAATACAAGTATAGTTAGCATAAATTTTTGAGCAAATTTGGATGCTCAGAATGCAGGAAATGGCATTTCCGTGCTTCAAATTTCAAAAATTTTCATGACCCAGACCCCCCATTCATGTGCGGTATGTTGGCCACACACATGCCATTCCCCCCCCCCCCCCCCCTCACAGGAAAATTCTTAAAAAAGGTCCTGTAGGCAAAACCATTACCATGAAGTCAACCTTCTGTATGTGTCTCTACTCTGTGATCAGGGTTGTTTACCATTTACACGGAAAACTCATCCAGTTTGAAATTGTGCTAATGGTAAGCAAAATTTCGGATAGAAAATCCCATTCGGATTATGCACTTTCCATTTAGAGTGACTGACCAGAAGGCACTGAAGTATTTTATAATTCCAATTGTTAAATCGAGCATGGAACTGGTGAAAAAATAAAAAAGAGATGTAAATGGAACAAAATTTACCGGTTGAAACGTTCCAATCGGTAAGGCCCCGTTTACATGAGACCGGAACAAAGTCAAACCATCTCGTTTCGGTCATAGTATTATCTATAATAGATGTTTACATGAGACCGGGACGAAAATATAATCAGACCGGTCCAAGTCATTCCGCCTGCTGGACCGAACCAACTGACTTCAGACCGGCATGAATTCAGACCGGGATGAATGTAAACACAAATACATTTCAGACGGCGGTCTCGGCTGTAATCTTGACATTGGAACAACACATGCTAGCAAAAGCTACCTGAAAAAGAAAATTGCCTGGCAAGGGGAATAAATTGAAGATTTTGTGATCCTCGTACCGGTCTCATGTAAACATGTTGACAATTTCCATTTTCATTCCGGTTTGACTTCGTCCCGGTCTCATGTAAAGGGCCATTCCATTTAATATACACACCCCCCTATGTACGAGAATTTCTGAGGGGGGGGTGAAAAAGCCGTTTCTGAGGGGTTGTGTGCATCGGCATCCTTTGATCTATGCGTTTTTTCTGAGGGGTAAGGCAAAAATTTCTTAATTTCTTGGGGGATGTTTGTGTCAGCACTTTGATCTTTTTTTCTTAGGGGTTCAAATTTTATTGACCTCGTCCATAGGGGGG